GCCCAGCGCTGAGCCCAGCCTGGCACCCAGAGGAGACAAAACCCAGGTCTGCAATCACCAAGACTGGGACACATTTCCAGGCACGTCACTCCCCACCAGGACACTTGCCCCATGGAGGCACAGTCTTGCTGTGATGACATCTGTTTAGGACAACTTGTCCTCAACGAGGGTCTTGCAATTTACCCCCGGGGATTTGCCCCTTTGGGCTGAGCTGGGGCTAAGCGAAGTTGTGGTGCTCTTTGGTGCACCCTCAAGAAATGAGCAACCAGAAGAGCATGCTGGAGAACTGGAAACCTGCAATGTCTACTTGCCATCTCACGACTGATTTCATAGCGTGAGACTCAAAGTGAACTGGTTTATTTTAAGCTCGCTGAGACCAAGTTTGCCTGGCTAATGCATTCTGACTTTTAGATTGAAGACGTAAATATCTTGAGACTTTGGACAGATTCTTTGGAGGACACACGGCTTGGAGGAGGAAACCAGATTCAAAAATAATACCTGGAATTGTTTCAACAGTGCTATAACTGGTCTTACCAGGACCAATGGAGCAGCCAAAGTATGGCCATCTGTTTCCGCTCCCCCCTGCCCTCCCGGCTGACTTCAAACCACCCCACTAGCAGAAAATGCATTGAGCATCCCGGGGAGGAAGGACAATTCAATAAACCTAAAACCAAAAAGGAACACTTCATTTTAGCAGAGGAAGCCGTAGTGATGTGACTCACTCGGTGGCTTTTGAGGCTCTCCCCCACTTTTCAGCACTGTCACTTAGAGGTTATTTTTGCATTTGCCCTGCTACAACCACGCAGCTCTCGAGCCGTGTGCTGCTCCAGAGCATCGGGGCGGTTAAAGACATCTTTGGGCTTGCTGCCTGCTGAGCTGAGCACGCTTACAGGTTGGGATGTACAGGAGCCATCAGGGATCGTGCACCTCCATTCCCTGATCTCTGGGATGAGCATATGGGAGACAGGCAGAGTTTTGGCTCCGCTTCTTCCTGCTCTTGACCTGCCAGGTCCCCTGCCAGGGACCTGCCTGGCCAGCTCTGTCCCTCCAGACGGGACACCAGGAGGGAGATCACGCTTGTCAGACTCTGTTGCTTCCCTCACTGCTCCTGGGAAACTTGTCCCACCTCCCACCCTCGCCACCCTTTGCTGGTCTGGGTAGTGTTTTCTTATTGTGGTTTGGTCACAAAGTCCTTCCCTTGTGTAGTTTGGCCACTGCTTAAGGAAGCCTCCAAAGAAAGCCTTGATAGGAGCATCATCACTAGCCCTGAAGGTGAAGCTGGCCAGTGTGGCCGCACTGGGGACAGGTCTAGCAGCAAATACTCAGTAGAGATTCATCTTACACCAGCTTAAGAGCTTTGGCAGCCCCGATGGCTGCCGCATGCAAGGAAAGGAAGCCACACGGCAAGAGAGCTCTTGCCAGGACGGCTCTGTGCACGCACACTCCTGCTCATACAGAGCTGGTCTAAGCAGCAAGGCGGGTTTATCGGGGAGTTTTGTGCTGCCGCCTGGAGCCAATTCCCCACCTGCACCCACCAAGACGCTGCACCCTCCTTCATACAAGAGGTGAAAACGGACCTCCAGGATGGTCTTTTCAGGACCGTCCTATTAAGCCATCTGTATGACCACATTGGCAGCAGGAACATACTGCAACACAATATGTTGCCTCAGCACAGGAACCGTACTCAGAGCCCCCAGCGCTTCAGCCGATGGAGATTTTTCTTCCTTTTCCATCAGCCACCACTGTAAAGCTGCGCTAAGAGGCAGCTACATCCCCCAGCAGGAAGCTGTGTCTCATTAGCAGAGGTAAACAATTCCTCTGAACGTGACGAGTCAGGAGAGCATATTAAATATGTCAATATCTTAGGTTTTTTTAATCCCCGCTCCGGAACAGCAAGTCGCAGCAGGAGAGGACCCCGCAGCGCGGCTCAGAGCCCTGCTGCACCCCGGCTGGCATCTCCCCTTGCTTGGGGCATCTCCCCCTCTTTGGGAGGGGAGTGGGGAGCTCCTGGGCAGGTGCCCTCACCCCTCGACCTGACCCACCCGAGCAAGCCTGAGCACTCCATTGATTTCCCTTGCTTAGTTGGCACAGCTGCAAGCAAGTGAAAAATAATAAAACTATAGCCATTTGCTTTTAGAACATTCATCGAAGCATCCATTTAGTAGCCTCCCTGCTCCGGGGATGGGCACCACACCGGAGCTCAGCAGCTCCGGCTCCAGCCCTTCCTTCCAGCACACACGGAGATGGCAAAAGCCACACGTCGCTCAAGGCAAGGCTGTAACAGGGGGAGCAAATCCCAGCACGGCACTTGTGGCTTTACCGATGGGCAGGGGCGTGTCTGAGAGCAAAACAATGTTGAAAACAGTATGAGGTTTGGTCCGTTTCATCAGCTGGCTTCTGCTGCTTTCCCTGGCAGCCTCGTGCACACACCCACGACAACACATGCTTTATTTACAGGAGTCCCCTTTTCTCCCCAAGGCTGCCGCCGCATCCCCTGCAAAGGAGCCTGGTGCTCACGTACAGATCAGCTACTCGCTATTTTGTTTTATCCCCGCTGCTGGCAGAGCAGCCTTCTGCCTTATTTACAGCGTGCTACTCACACGCTGCTCAGGAGACAGAATTATTTATGTCCTCCTGAGCTTTTCTAGGCTTCTCGGCGCTGCGGCCTCCGCTCGCTGTGCAAACAGTTGCTCGCATTCAGCGCGTGTCTCCAAGCTGCGGGGAGGCACCAAAGGCCCATTTTACAGACACGGAGTGGAGAAGCTCTAAGTAGTTCCCAGGACTTTTGGTTGCCCAACTGGAGGTGGCAAAGCTCAGCTTTTCCAAAGCACCTCATGTTACACGTTGTTTTCCACATTCAAAGCACAGCCGCACTTTGCACCCGAGAGCATCCGTTCGTGCAAGCCAGATCCCCTCTGCTTTGCCCAGGGTATACACGATGCACCCTAAAAGCAGGTCATGAACACTTAGACTCCAACAGTTTCCCAGGTCAAAGCAAGCCTATGGTGCAGGATCAGTCCCCAATGCCATGGACACAGGAGCAGCCTCTTCCTACGCTTCCTCACACTTGCAGCGGGGCTCTCCCAGCCCTGGGACACAAGCAGCCTGCGCAGACCCCAGCCCTGCACCTCATTTGTTTGAGCCCCCAGTACCAGCATCAGCTCCCTGCGAGCCGGGGACCAGCAGCCCCCTGCACCGGCACCCCAGTGCTGCAGACGGTCCCCGGGGCCACGCTGCTCCCCGCACACAGCACCTTCCCATGGGCTCCCGACCACACACGAAGCATTCACAAACCAAACCACAAAACCCGGCTCGGTCTTACCTTGCAAGTCCGCTGTGCTCGAGAGGACCAGACCTCACACCCCAGCAGGCTCCTCGCCTCCAGCCATCAGCTCTGAGCAGCTCCAGCTGCTTTATCACCTCCTCCTCTGCCAGGAGGCTCTCCCTCCCTGACGAGGGTCCACTGCAGCAGAGCCCACTGTCGTACCAATCCCTCTCCCTCCCTGATCTTCGGGATTTTGAGTCCGAAATGGAAGTAAAGTGACAGCAAGGAGATGCTTCATATGCAAAAAAGATTTGCAGTGTGTTGCAGAGTTGCCCACTATAACACATCCCCAAGGCAGGTCTGACCTACGTGCTCCCGGAGGCAAAGGCTGCAGGGCAAGAGACCCCGGTTTGTAATGACAGGCTTTAACACATGTATGCTTGAGCAATAAACCCATTGGCACGGCTAACACCTCCAAAACGTCAACATTTGGTGTGTGACCTTGACAATATGTCCTTAGTGCAGTTCAGCACATGTGGATGCGTGCGTGTGTCCCTGCCAAACACGTGAGCTTGGCCATGCTGTCATTTGTGGGCATGTCACTTGTGGGCAAAATGGGATGGCTGGACCTTTTCTACCATTGCCCAGGCCTGCAGGCAATGAGTGACGTAGCAGCGGACATTGTCGCCTGGGTGGGATGAGCCATCCTTCCCACCGCGGTCCCTGCGGGCGGGCGAAGACCATTGCACCTCCTGCCTGCAGCTGGGGAAGGCAGCGCGGCTTGGGAAGTGCCTGTCCCTGCAGGCAGCGGGGCTGCCAGGCACAGCTACGTAACTCAGTTTCTGCAAAGATAGATGTTAACTGTTGTTATCTTGTATTTGCCGCAGGCTAAGGGCACCTGGACAAGCAGCAAGTGTCTGGGGACAGTGTTTGGGCTGTGGGAGTCCCGCGTCCCTTATGGGCGCTGGCGGGTGGGCACGGAGCTGCCTGCCCCATTCCCTTCCCGATTCCTTCCCTGTCAGCTCAGCCTCAGGTTAGTTTGGGTAGGTTGAACTGAGGAGTGACCAGCGATGGTCATCACATTGGGCAGAGCATACCTGCTCTGCTTGTCCCCAAGGCCAGGGTGCTGCCCTGGGGACAGCGGATACACCGGGAGCACAAATCTCTGCTCTCTCACTACCGCCCGGTCCTGTCCCAGCTCAAAGCTGGGGAAATCGGGATTCTCTCCTCCAGCCGTGCTCAGAGGCACTGGGGAGATGGTGTGTCCCCAGCCTGTTCAGCGTCAGGAGCCATCAGAGGCACGGATGTGCTTTGGGTATTTCAGCCGTTCGGTTCTTGCAAGGGAGCAGGGGTGAGCGCAGCTTTCCGTAGGCTTGTAACTCGGCCAACCTTAACCGAAGTTTCTCAGAGACCGTCTTGGGGAAAGCGCTTTCTATGAAAATTACCCCCATGCCAAATTGAAAGGCCCTTTCCCGAAGGGCCTTTCAAAGGGAACAGCTCAGCTGTTCTTATAGCAAAGGCAAAGCCACGTATTTCTGACTTAAATTCATGCTCAGAAACAGCATCATCCAGAGCCAGACCCCTGGCATACTCCAGTTCAGCCCAGCAGTTAACGTTTGACACAAGCAGCTAAAACCAGGGCCCAGTAACGGTGCGAGCTCGGCCGCGTGCCCGCGATGCCCATGCGATGCCCAGGTGTTACTTTCTTTTCTCGTGACCGTTGTTGTTGTTCCAGGAGAACCCGTACCTGTGCAGTGATGAGTGTGACGCCTCCAACCCGGACCTGGCCCACCCACCGAAACTCATGTTCGACAGCGAGGACGAAGGGCTGGCCTGTGACGTGGCGCCGGTACCCGGAGCCGCTGCTGGCCAACATCACGCTGTCCTGGAACAAAAGCATCGAGCTGACGGATGACATTGTGATAACCTTCGAGTATGGCCGACCCACCATCATGATGCTGGAGAAGTCGCTGGACAACGGAAGGACTTGGCACCCATACCAATATTACGCAGATGACTGCATGGAGGCCTTCAGCATGCCAGCACGGAGGGTCCGGGACCTCTCCACCACCAGTGCCAACAGGGTCCTCTGCACGGAGGAGTATTCCCGCTGGGCGGGCTCCAAAAAAGAGAAGACTGTCCGGTTCGAGGTGAGGGACCGCTTTGCCATCTTCGCTGGCCCCGACTTCAAGAACATGGACAACTTGTACACCCGGCTGGAGAGTGCTAAAGGGCTCAAGGACTTCTTCACCGTCACCGACCTGCGGATGAGATTGCTGAGACCGGCCCTGGGGGGCACCTACGTGCAGAGGGAGAACTTGTACAAGTACTTCTATGCCGTCTCCAACATTGAAGTCACCGGCAGGTAACGGCTGCTGTATTTCTTTGGGCGTCTCTTCTCGGTGGGATGAGAAGAGGGTTACTGCTAGAAAACTAAGCCATCAGCATTTCTGTCGACTGATAAGATTATCGGTGTTTCTCCCTCTAATACCCTCTCTCCCGAGGCAGGGCAGCATCGGTAATAAAACATCTGTGTCCTTGCAGGGGACGGCTGGGGCACCTCCAGGGCTGGTGCGGGAGTGTCCGAGAGAAGGGCTGTGTCCTCCCGGAGCTGGCGTGGGGGGAGCTGGGACACGGCTTGGATGGACAGTCAGGGTCTGAGTTCCCTCTGAGATATCCTGTCCCCAGCTGTGCAAACGCAGGCAGCCTCTGCCCAAAAATCTCTAGTGGCTCTGGGGGGGTGAGGAATGAGGCTCGCCTCACTAAACTCCAGCTCGCTGCCAGTACAAGCAGGATGGGTCGTCCCGAGTCAGTCCTGCACCCCCGGAGGAGCCCCGGCTCCGGCAGATGAAGTTTGGGGTGAGGGTAACCCCCCGACAGATCTGGGGCAAGGGAGGGCAGGAAAGGGTTTGTTTCTCCTGGTTTTTGTTTTTCATTTCTCTGTACGATGCCATATGTTACATTATGACATCAACTGAAAAACCAAAGTAAGGTGGAAAAATGCCGAGATGGCTAATTTCCCATCCAGCTTGTGGATTCAGCGTGTGCGAGAC